TATACATTTTTATATATACATATACAATTGTTCCACTATTACGTCTTGAAAAAGTTGTCCTTTCCCCACTGAATTGCCTTGGGATCTTTGTTGAAAATCAATTGACCATAATGTAAGGGTTTATTTCTGGACACCCAATTCTGTTCTACTGATCTACATGTTTATCTTTATACAATACCACACAGTCTTGATTACTGCAGCTTTAGTAAAAATGGTTACAGCTTTAAAACTGGATAGTGTCAGTCCTCCAATTTCATTCTTTTTTTTTTTCAAGCCATAAGAGACTTTTTTTTTCAAAGATTTTTATGTATTTATTTATTTGAGAGACAGAGAGAATGAGAGAAAGAACATGAGCAGATAAGGGGCAGAGGGAGAAGCAAACTATCTGCTGAGCAGGGAGCCCAATGCGGGGCTCAATCCTGGGACTCCAGGATCATGACCTGAGCTGAAGGCAGACGCTTAACCAACTGAGCCACGAAGGTGCCCCTCATTGTTTGTTTTTTTATAGAAAGTAGTGATTTTGACCTTCTAGGTCCTTTGCATTTCCATCCAAATTTTAAGATCAGTTTGTCAATTTCTACAAAGTAGCCAGCTGGGATTTTAATAAATCTTTTGCTTTGAAAGAAAAACAGTTAGCTATCTAAACATATAATTTGCAGCTTAAAATCCCACCTTAAAAGCTCTCTTTCTTAATCTAAAAGTTAGAAATATTATCTATGAGAGCAGAATTTATTTCACAAGTCCTTGATTATTTAAAAGCTCTTATGAATATAACACCAAAACGTGCTTCTATAATACTATACAAAAAGTTTCTTCTACTTATTAAATGTGAAAGATGCTAAGAGAACTTATGAGACTAACTTACTATGCTTTATACTATGCATTGTTCTTTTCAAAATTAAAAATGGGAGGGCAGGGAAAAGAAATAAGTCCATATGCACAAGAGTTCTTTATGGAGTTAAATTGTGGTAGGTTTTACACAGGATCTTTGATTTGAATTTCTTATCTTCTACTAATTTTTGATTGCTGTTAAACTAACATTAATTATACCTTATAATAAATGATTAGCTATATCATATATTATTTATACCATGCTATCTAGTATAAGTATATATAACAACATAACCATTATAAATCACAATAAATTTTTAAAATAAAAGAAATAACACTGTTGGTGGGAATGTAAACCTGTACCACCGATAGTGGTACAGCCACTACAGAAAACAGTATTAAGATTCCTCAAGGGGCGCCTGGGTGGCTCAGTGGGTTGGGCTGCTGCCTTCGGCTCGGGTCATGATCCCAGGTCCTGGGTTCGGGCCCCACATCGGGCTTTCTGCTCAGCGGGGAGCCTGCTTCCTCCTCTCTCTCTGCCTGCCTCTCTGCCTACTTGTGATTTCTGTCAAATAAATAAATAAAAAAAAAATCTTTAAAAAAAAAAAAAAAAAGATTCCTCAAAAAATTAGAAACAGAACTACCACATGATCCAGCAATTCCACTTCTGAGTATGTATCTAAAGGAAAGAGAATCAGTATCTGCACCCCTATGTTCACTGTAGCATTATTTACAATACCCAAGACATGGAAACAACCTAAGTGTAAAGGTCCTTTGAAGGATAAATGGATAAGCAAAATGTGATATAGAAAGACAGAGCTATAGATACTAGAATATTATTCAGCCATAAGAAAGGAAATCTTGCTATCTGTGACAACATGGACAGACATTGAGGGCATTATGCTAAAAGACAAATACTATATGATCTCAGTTATATGTAGAATCTAAAATACAAAAACAAAAACTGAAGACACTGGTGGTTGCCAGAGGCAGGGGGAGGATGGAGGGCAGGGGAATTAAGGGAATGGGTGGAGATGGTCAAAAAAGGTAAAAACTTCCAATTATAAGATGAAGTTCTGGGGACATATGTACATCATGGTGAATATAGTGACCATACAAATTACACATCTGTGAGCTGCTAAGAGAGTAGATCTTAAAAGTTCTCATCATGGCACAAAAATATAACTATGTAAATGATGGATGTTAACTAAACATTTATGGTAATTATATATATATATATATATATATATATATATACACACATATATATAATCATTGCTATACACATTGGACTACTACAATGTTATATGTAAATAATATCTCAAAAAAACTGGAAAAAATTTTTTAAATGTTAAAGAAACAAAGAGACTGGTCCCTTAAATTAAAAGCAAATGCAGATTATCAAATTTTAATATATAAGTAGCAGATTACCTTGAATTATTACCAGGTACTACTCAAAATTTCTGAGTGCTATCATTCAACATTACAGTATCATATTGACCTTAATAAAAGAAGATAAATGTGTATTAGTAATCTATGTTGTTACCTACCAATGTTATTAACCAAGATGAAGGTAATCACAAGAAACTAGTCTTCACATGCTAATCTTTGCTATATATATATAGAGAGAGAGAGAGAGAAAATTCCATCAACCATAAACTTTGATTAGTGAAATTTAGCTTGTGTTTCTTGGTATGGACTAAGAATGGTAGAATAAAATGATTTTTATTAGCTGCTTCCCCTTTTGGTATCAGGGAAAGCACAGTGTTGGTTCTCTTCTGACTTCAAATCTTAACTATGTAATTTTATATATTTTATGTATACAATTATGCTATAATTTAGCCTCATAAAAATAGAGCTTCAAAAACACCATTTATTATGTATTATTTTCAAATCTGTTGAATTCAAATCAAATTTTCTATGGGAACTTGTGACACTTTCATTCACTTTCTCTTAAAAGAACTGACAGACAGTGAAAATGTAGGTGGATCACAGGAATGCAAAAGCCCGTGGCTCCGGGAGTCTCAAACAGACCAGGTTCGACCACTCACCCCAAACTCCAAAGGCAGAGAGATGAATGGTAGTGAAACAAGAAAGGGATTTATTTCACTGAGGCCAACACCAGTGGCCTCAAAGACTGTTTCCAAAGTGCTGACAATATTCTAGGTTTACATAAGGCAAATGTAGGACGAAGGTTAGTGGGTACATGCAGGAGGACAGTAAAGGCCAGAAGGATCACTGTTTAGGGAGTTGTGCCTTGCTGCCTCAGGGCAATCCTTATTGCTTCAGGAGGCAGTTTTGATTCCCATCACAAGATGCACTGCCTATAGGGTCTTTTGCCTGTGTAAAGAGATAAGCTGGGAGGAAGAACTTAATTAAAAAGTTTGAGGTCTAAATGGTGGTAGCTGAATTCCTCTTTCAAAAAGAGTAAGATACTGCACCATAGGTATACCATATTCCTATTTGTGTAAAGAAGTAGGAGGAAGGTATGTATTCATAATACATAAGTGTTTGTGTTTGCACAGGAGTCAGTGGTGGAAAGACTACCTTTTTGTCACATGGGTCTGTTTTATTCTTTAAAAAAAATTATATATATATATATATATATATATATATATATATATATATATAAACTAAGAGAAGTACGAAAAAGGCATCTGTCTCAAAACTAGGATTAAAACTTCTAATTGTTAAATTACATCAGTTTGCTTGAAGGAAACTCACATTTTCTAGTAGGTCTTCTATCTTTCTTTATAAAGGCTGATTTAAGATTGAGTTCTGCAAAGTTGCATGAAGGAAAATGCTGTGGATAAGAAAAATGCCATTTCAAAACTCTGATTTGTTAAATGAGCTACTATCAACTAGACTACAAAGACTTATTTTCTTTCTTCCTTATGTTAGTCAGTTGACACAAAGTAATGACTTTTATACCTATACTGGAGCCTCGAACTGCATATCTGCATATACTATCAGTACGCCTTCACCTTATCAAATATTTGGGGTGGGAGGAGGGCAGGACAGGAATAGAAATTTCAAGTAATTGCAAAACCTATCCTCTTTTAGAACACAGTCAAAAGCCTATTTCTTCATGGTAAGCCAGAGGGTAAGATATGGCTTATTTATTTATTTATTTAGATTTTATTCATTATTTATTTGACAGGCAGAGATCACAAGTAGGCAGAGAGAGAGAGAGGTGGAAGCAGGCTCCCTGCTGAGCAGAGAGCCCAATGCGGGGCTGGATCCCAGGACCCTGGGCCGAAGGCAGAGGCTTTAACCCACTGAGCCACCCAGGCGCCCCAAGATACGGCTTATTGTAAGCCCAGTACGTAAGCATTCTAGCTGCAGTCTAAGGAAAAGTGGATACAATTAGATCATTTGTGGACTGGAGTGACGTCTCAACTTGTCTTTTAAGTCTCCAAGGTTTTTTATTCCCAGTTAATCACCGAATATTAATTATTTGCAACACAAAATCACTCTTGGTATACTTTCTCCATTTGGTTTTCAGTGAAGGCTACACTTCTCGTTTTCTCTTACTGGCTATTCTGTCTCCTGCCATTCATTCAGCAATGTCTGTGACCTTGAGCGGGTAACTTAATCACTCTGGACCTCGTAACCATAAATGAGGCTTTTAGCATAGTATTCGCTCCCTAAATCTTAATTCTTGTATAACGTTAATTGTTACTAAGTACCACAAAAACAGCTCCGTGCGTCTGCGCTGGCCCGGCCTGAAACGAACCCACCCACACCTCGGAAAGGGCGAGCAGCAATGAGAATGCTGTGGAGAGGAACTTGGAAACACTTTCCACGGCGGAAGCCAGGCTGGCAATCCCGGGCGAGCTCTACCCGCCCTGGTTAGAATTCAGAAAAAGTGGCCGCTTCTGTAGGGGAAGCGGAACCCATGACAACGCCCCAACGACTTCCGGCTTGGCGCACCTTCCCTTCAGCCCTATAACTGCACTTTCGATAAACACACGGAGTCCAATATTTCCCTCAGGCATCTCCATAGTTTCTTTATTTCCCCCTCTTTATGGCTTTATTTGAAGATAAAGATTAAGCTGGGAGGGATTACAGATAGGCGTGGCTACGGAAAAAAGGAAGCGTATAACCGACCTGGCGAAAATGCGGAGCGGAAGTACCTGGTGTCCTCGCCTCTCTGGCCGGAAGTTGCGGGACTGAATGGATTCCGCAGCCGGCTGCTGTAGCTTCTCAATCTTCATCTGAGGCTTGGCGGCCGCTGGGCCACCAGGTTCATGTGGAGACTCCCGGGTTCCCGCGCCGCGCTTCGTGGGGTCCGCACGGCGGTGGAGCGGCACACTCGGGCCGGGGCGGCGACTGAGAAAGCGGCGGGCGCCATGGAGCGCGCTGTAGTGCGCTGTGTGCCCTCCGAGCCTAAGCTAAGCCTGTCGTTCGCGCTGGCCGACGGCAGCCACAAAAACATGCAGCGCGACCAAAGCGAGCCGTTGGGTCGGGCTCTCAGCCGGATAGCAACCAATGCCCTTAAAGGCCACGCTAAGGCGGCCGCCGCCAAGAAGAGCAGGAAGAACCGGCCAAATGCAAGTGGTAGCGTGGCCTGTGCGGGGCCTGGGCCCGAGTCGACTGCGGCCTCCGAGCCCGTGGTGAAGCTGTACTACCGGGAGGAGGCAGTGGCTGAGGACGTGCTCAACGTGGACGCCTGGCAGGACGGCGCGGTGCTGCAGATTGGCGATGTCAAGTACAAGGTGGAGCGCAACCCGCCCGCCTTCACCGAGCTGCAATTGCCACGCTACATCATGGCCGGTTTCCCGGTTTGCCCCAAGCTCAGCCTCGAATTTGGGGATCCCGCCAGCTCCGTCTTCCGCTGGTACAAGGAAGCCAAAGCCGGAGCGGCAGAGCCAGAGGGCGGGGGCCCCTCGTCATTGTCTCCCTCTTCACCCTCTCCTGGTTGGACGGAGACCGGTGTGAACGAGCGCGTCTACACGCCGTCCAATGCCGACATCGGGCTCCGACTGAAGCTTCATTGCACCCCAGGCAATGGGCAGCGCTTCGGGCCAAGCCGGGAGTTGGAAAGTGTGTGTCCCGTGGAGGCAGGGCCTGGCACGTGCACCTTTGACCACAGGCATCTCTACACCAAGAAAGTGACGGACGACTCTCTCATCCGCACCGTCTCTTACAACCTCCTGGCCGACACGTACGCCCAGACTGAGTTTTCGAGGAGCGTCCTTTACCCGTACTGTGCCCCTTATGCTCTGGAACTCGACTACCGCCAGAACCTTATCCAGAAGGAGCTCACGGGCTACAACGCTGATCTCATCTGTTTGCAAGAGGTTGATCGCAGCGTGTTTACAGACAGCTTGGTGCCGGCTCTCGAGGCCTTTGGGCTGGAGGGCGTGTTTAGAATCAAGCAGCACGAAGGCCTGGCTACTTTCTACCGAAAGGCCAAATTCACTCTCCTTAGCCAGCATGACATTTCTTTCCATGAAGCCCTGGAGTCCGACCCACTTCACAAAGAACTGCTGGAGAAGTTAGTTTTGTACCCGTCTGCGCAGGAGAGGGTGCTCCAGAGATCTTCTGTCCTCCAGGTAGAGTACATCTGCCATTCTCTTTACATACTCTTCGATTTTTAGAGCACTGGAAGATTTTTTTCAGATTTTACTGAAGGGTATTTGCTCTTGTATCTTAAGCACAAAGGTTAAGCATAGCATTCACTCAGGATACACATGAACACATGAACATTCATTCATTGAGCAAATACTTACTGAGCACCTCTAGTGTGCCAGGCACCTCTGAACAAGACAAACGGACTTTCTTAGTGCGTACAATCTCATGGGAAAGACATGCTGAATACAAGAATATGGTATTTAGTATTTTACTCCTTGCCAAGCACTGTTCTGATGCATTTTAAAGCACTTAAAATTTTATCATTAAATTTTGTTCCTGAAATTAATATTATAGTATATGTTAAGTAACTGGAATTGAAATAAAAACTCAAAACAAAACAAAAAAAGTACTTAATAAGTGGCATGTTTAATGAAATATTCCACAAATATTAATATTTTGATTTTGGTCATAGTAATCCTATTTTTACAGATGTTATTTTGTAAATGGGGAAATGGTCAAGTTTACTTACCCAAGTTCACATACGTTTGGAGCCAGGATTCTTAACCCAGTTACTTATATATTACATCATCACTGAGCAGGTGTTAAGCTGCCTTAGTTTTTAAAAACATGTTATTTATATATTTGTCCAGAGTTTTTAGGTAACTGGTTTTGTTTATAGTAAGATTTTGGAGTAGCTATCTCTCTCTCTCTCTCTGGTTTTGTGTTTTTTTTTTTTCTTCAAGCACCCAGTGTGTTTCATGCACCTCTTTGTAAGCTCATTCACTTGAATCCATACAACAGTCCCCCTTGAGGTGGACAATAGTGTCTTTAACCGATGACCAAACTGACTTGGGAAAAAAGTGTCTCTCTCCAGGTCACACAGCTTAACCTGCTTAAGTTAAGTGTGGGCCTGACTTCAAACTCTGCCTTTACTCACTTAAATACACCAACCTTAATGTTGTTCTCTAAAATATATCCTTTTTTACTTCCTATATGATGGACTATTATTAAAAAACATGTTATTCTGAATCCAGTTCATGTGTATCCTGAAACTTGTAGCCAAAGTTAGATTTCATACTTGCAGTCATACTTTTCAGTCAGGGAAGGTTATGAAATGTCAGTTCATCATATAGTCATGGATTAAGAAAAAATGTTCAGGAGATTGATGGCAACTGGACTCTTGGCCCTTTGTTTATTTTAGGTTTCTGTTCTTCAGTCTACAAAGGACTCTTCTAAAAGGATATGTGTTGCTAATACCCATCTCTACTGGCATCCAAAAGGTAGGTTTTAGTGGTTTTCATAAGTGATGTAAACATGGTAACTTAAGTAGGGCTGTTTTTTTTTACATACATCTTTAATTCTTTCAGTTTTATTGAGATATAATTGTCAATAGCATCATATAGGCCTAAAGTGGGACTTAGATATGTTGCAAAATGATTGCCATAGTAAATTAACATCCATCACCTCATGTAGATTTGAAAAAATGTTTTTTTCCTTGTGATGAGAGCACTTGTAGGAGCTACTCTTTCAGCAGCTTTTAAATATACCATATATCATTGTTAACGTGCTCATTATGTTGTACATTACATCCTTATACTTACGTGCCTCATAACTAGATGTTTTTTACCTTTGGGCCACCTTCATCCAGTTCCCCTTCTCCAAACACATATTTTGAATGTCACCCAGATACTGTATGTAGTTTGTGGGCTTTTTTCTTCTTAAAGGCAACATTTGAAAGTACTTATAATAATGTTTTTTATATTCACAGGTGGCTACATTCGTCTCATTCAAATGGCAGTAGCCTTGGCTCACATTAGACATGTCTCGTGTGACCTGTATCCTGATATACCGGTTATATTTTGTGGAGACTTTAATAGTACCCCATCAACAGGAATGTATCATTTTGTTGTCAACGGCAGCATCCCAGAGGATCATGAAGACTGGGCTTCCAATGGAGAAGAGGAACGGTGCAACATGTCCCTTACCCATTTCTTCAAATTGAAAAGTGCTTGTGGTGAACCTGCTTACACAAATTACGTTGGTGGCTTTCATGGATGTCTGGACTACATTTTCATTGACTTAAATGCTCTAGAGGTTGAACAGGTGATTCCATTACCTAGTCATGAAGAAGTTACCACCCACCAGGCCTTACCTAGTGTTTCCCATCCCTCTGATCACATAGCACTTGTATGTGATTTAAAATGGAAACAGACTTGTGTTTAATGGAATCTGTCTGCCTTAGTAGGAAATTTAATATGAATCAAAGCTTATGTCTAACCTTCAAAGAGGAAAACTAGACAGATAAATGTTGTTACTCTACTAGTTAGTTCCAGTCTCTTCATTACACAACTGTTCATAATATTTGCAGTTTCTCCACTTCTCTTTTTTTCCTATTGTTGAAGGAAAAACAAATATATTTATGACTCCCAGGAAGAACATTGAATTATGTACATTTTTATAAGTACCTTTTTTTTAAACTAGGAATTAAGAATTTTGTAAAAAAAAAAAAAAAACCCATTTGAATAATCCTTTAATTTTTCTATCATAACACATTTCAGATTGAATCATGTTTGTATAATTAGGGAAGAATGCATACAGGTTGAAGTGAGAGGCCTAAGTCTGACATGAAGGAGTAACATTAGAGTCTCCCTCTACCTCAGGTTGGCTAGCTATTTAATACAACTTCAGAGCTTTAACAGAAGATTAAACTACACCATCACCAATTGTTATTGCTTCTCATCTTTAGTTTTTCAGTTAACATAGGGTATTATCGTCCTGTTATTTTTAGGATTTTACTTTTTAGTATGTGGTACAAATAGACATTTATATTCTTATTCTTATTGCAGCTCATTTGAACTTTTAGGATGCAAGCACAATTTAGTGTTCAAAGCGAATAACAGCATATTCAACTTGATCCAATTTTCTTCAATAATTTCTTGCCCATAAAAAATGTTAATAAATCAGTAGGGTATTGGACTATATCGTATTACAGAATGCAGCATAAGAGATTACCTTATGAGAAACTGCCTACTGATATGGGCTTGACATTTTGAGTGAAGCTTTGAGCATTTCCCTGCTGGAAGTATTTTTGAAATTGTTGGGTTTTTAAAAATAGAAAAGGGAGTAGTGGGGCTTTTGAGCATTTCTAAAATAAACTGTTCTTTTTATAGACTTGAGCATTATAGTCTGAGTTATAGGAAAACATTGTATATATAATTTATATACTATAAAAAATTTAAATATGAAGCCAAACTTTTTAAAATTAGAAATTGCAGTTTAGTGATTAGTTTCTAGCCTAGAGTGGTAACTGAGCTCTTCTAACTCAGTTTTTACCATACCTTATTTGTAATGCTTTGGCTGTTACTTTTTAATGTTCAAGATAACTATAATGTTATCTCATATTTCTGTGCTTAGTTTCTTTATCTTAGATATTAAAAGCCCACTCACTTCAAGAATTCTGATTTTCCACAGTCATGAGAGCTTTTGTCCCAAATTCGTTACTAATCTCTAAACCCAGTACCATAAGAACTTTTTTGATAGAGTAGGCTGTCCTTCCATATTCTTACTATCCACTGTATTGTTAACTCTTAGTAAGTTTGAGAATGAGTTTTAGAGTTCAGTTTGAACATTAAAGTACTTAAAACACTGGAAGGGGAAAATTAAAGTGGCAGTTTCCTGGGATCTTGTTTAGAAAAAGCTGTAAAAAGTAGATGCTATCAAATTGTGCCTTCCTAAATAACATCTTTGAGAGCACTTTAACATTAGTTTAGAAATACATGAATATATTAATGCCAGAATCTGATTCTTTTGCAAAATACATATTTTTTCTTTTTAAAATGTGTTTTTGGTCTGCTTTCAAACAGGTTGACAGGACCCTTAAAATAACTTGAGAGAAAATAAAGTTTCTAAGCAAAAAGTTGAGAAACATTTTGAAAAAAGAAATGGGAGCATGATATGCTCACTCATGCCCATGAGGAAAACTTTCAGATTCTGTATTAACACCATGGCTAGCTAGATTGAACTTTTGGCTGGAAGAACTAATCACTTATCAAACATTCCACATTCTGAATCTTTAAATTTGATATTTACTCAGTGTGTGATCAGATTATATCGGCATTTCAGAATAGCAGAATGTAGAATCTTATTGTGAAGTGCTGTATACTCTGGTCACTATGCAGATATATTACTATGATTGGAGTCCAAAGGTAGGGAACACTAAGAAAATTGTATAAATAGGATACCAAAATTACCTTGTATTCATGAGTTAGAATAAAGTGGTATTCAGAAATGTTTATTAGCTTAAAGCCATCTTTGTGATTAAATATTTCTATTTGGATTTTTTAGTACATTTAATTTAATAAAGTATGGAAAGCACCTCTCTTTATGGTGAACCCATTTTATGATGTCACAAGTTCTTGCTATAGGAATTAACATTCCAAAATGGTACATTATTGATTACAAAAGACTAAGAAAATTATAGAACACTGTCCTGTTAAATGAACTCTTACACAGTTGCCATTGCAGACATACACTATAGTTCATAATACATTAGCAAAAAAAATCACTTGGCTGTAATGTGAAGTTCTTTAAAATTCTGAATACCAAAATCAGTTTCAAACTTCCAAGTATTTCACTGGGTAGTGACTTTTCTGAGAGAACTAAAGCAGGCCTGATATCAGAATGTGGCATGGTGGTTTCAGTCTGGAGGTGTATCTGAGAAACAGTACAAGGGAAAGGGTCCAAAGAACACTATCATAGGAAGATCTGCCTATGATTCATTAGATCTCCTATCAGATCTATTCTCCAACTATAGGAATAAAGGCAGAGGTCCCCTACAACCTGGTTTGAGGGAAAACTAAAATCCATGTTAATGAAAAATTAAAGATCTACATTACTAGTGTACCATAAAATCCAAATGACAACACAAAAGGGAAGATCACCCTAAAAAATTATAGCCAACACCAATTCTTTAATCATAATTCAAAGATATTTAAATGTTTTTAAAGTTCTAATATTTTACTCAATCTAGTACTAAAAGGAAACACCTAGATTTCATTTAGGGAGAAGAAACAGTTGAAGATTTCTAACTGATTTGGGTAATCAAATTCTGTGGTCCCATTTAATGAGAAAGTACATGCTTTAGCATGGAAGGTACTAGAGCTGTATTGCATGATTTTTTTAGTACTAGCTTGAGAACAATAAGACCATATTTTGAGAGGATAATACCAAAGCATTTTTTAATTGAATTGAAATTCATGTAAGACTAACCATTTTAAAATTTCGATTCCACTGCATTTAGTACATTCACAGTATTGGGCAATCATTATCCCCAACTAGTTCCAAAACATTTTCATCACCCCAAAAGGAAACACACTGACCTATTAAGTAGTGTCACACCATTTCCTCTCCTCCAGACCCTGGCAACTACTAATTGCTTCCTGCCTCAATGGGTTTATCTATTTTGGATATTCCATATAAATGGAATCATACAATATATGACCATTTGTGTCTGGCTTTCCTTTATTTATGTTAATGTTTTTAGAGCTCTTCTATGTTTTATGTAGCAGTACCTCATTCCTTTGTATGGCTGAATATATTCTATTGTGTGGTTATACCACATTTTGTTTATCCAAATGGGTGTTTCAGTTGTTTCCACATTTTGGCTATTGTGAATAATGCTCCTATGAACATTCACATATATGTTTTTGTTTGAACACCTGTCTTTAATTCCTTTGGTTATATACATTTTGAGAAACTACCAAAATGTTTTCCACAGTGGTGACACCATTTTACATTCCCACCAGTGCTGTATGAGAGTTCATTTCTCCACATCCTTACTAATTTAGGTGTTTTTGATTAAAGTCATCCCAGACGGTATGAAGTGAAACCACTACCAATGCATTTTTATCTTGTTTAGTCTAATTATGTTGTTGCAGTCATGAGCTTGATTATTCCCAAGGGATTACCCAACCTATATTTTTTTCCAGATAGCTCATCTCATCATCCTACTTAATCTTACAAGCTTGTGTCCAGTTACAAAGGTCAGTCTCATTGCTTCTTTGGTAGAGATTTGGGGAGAAAACATTATTAAAAATACAAAAGTCCTAGGGGCACCTGGGTGGCTCAGTGGGTTAAAGCCTCCGCCTTCAGCTTGGGTCATGATCCCCAGAGTCTTGGGATTGAGCCCCGAGTCTGGCTCTCTGTTCAGTAGCGAGCCTGCTTCCTCCTCTCTCTCTGCCTGCTTGTGATCTCTGTCAAATAAATAAAAAATCTTTTAAAAAAAATACAAAAGTCCTAGAGTATAAATTAGAATGATTAAGCAGCCCAAGAAAATGAACCAAAAAAAAAAAAAAATCACTTTAAAAATTTGGGTCTACTCCCATAATTTGTTTCATAGAAGGAACTTGTGTACTAACATTGGTTTTTAAGTGGTTTAGCCATGCTCCACTATTACCTGACACTTTTTAAATCCATTTTAGGTACAGAGCAGCAGATAGCAAGAATGCCTAAATACTAATTCCTGAGAAACTCAAATGGCTGTTATAATAAGTTATAATGCTTAACAATCATCAAAAAGACAAAAACTCTGCTCATTAAAAAACTTAGGCTTTGAAAAGACAACCTTAAATTCAAGATAAGCTTTAATAATACATTTTTTAAAGATTATTTATTTATTTATTTATTTGACAGAGATCACAAGTAGGCAGAGAGGCAGGCAGAGGAAGAGAGAGGAGAAAGCAGGCTCCCTGCTGAGCAGAGAGCCCGATGCGGGGCTTGATCCCAGGACTCTGGGACCATGACCGGAGCCGAAGGCAGAGGCTTTAACCCACTGAGCCACCCAGGCGCCCCTAATAATACATTTTTAAAACATCATGCTAATACATTAAAAATTATAATATGGAACAAAATCACTTTGCAAGTTGGCCATAGTGTAATGAATAATAATAATACTGAAGCCAGATGCTAAAATTAACACTTTACATATAAACGATAAATTAATCTTAAATTGTAGACCTTAAAAATACTAAGTCTTTAGTATTTTTAGTATTTGGTATATTAGTATTTAGTATTTAGTGTATTAGTATTTAGGCATTCAGTACAGCTGACTGATACCACCTTCAACATAACTAGCACCTACCAGCTGGATTCATGCTTCTATAACAAACTCAGCTGTTAAAATCCACGTTTGTATTGTCAGCGTTAGGCTTTTACTCATAATCTTCACTTTTCCTGAAGAACCACTAAAAGCAATCATTCATCATCTCCATCTTCTGTCCATTTTGTTTTGATTGTATGTCAAAGGGTTTATATAATGCAATCCATTTTGCCCAGGAACTGACTTTAATGGTTTTATCCTGGATTGTTGCTGATGTTCATCTTACCGTATTTGAAGTATTCCAGTATGCAGTTTTGGTTTCATCTCATTTATTTTCTTGAAATTGAAAACAGTTTGGTAGGGAATTGGATAGGCTTCATTTGGCGTTCTTATATTGGACGAACAATA